TGTATAATATTGTATATTTATTTTTAGATAAAGGTCTTTTTATTCATTAAATAATATTATATTATATTAAATTATATATTATATTACATTAAATAATATTCATTTATATTTATTTATTTACTTATATTTATTTTATGTACTTCTTTTTTAAATAATGAATTAATCGGTGTTTCCTGACTAACAATACATTTTATAGTTATTCCCATGAAAAGAAGGCTAAAACTTAATTGATGAGAAATTTTTTTTTATAGTTAAAGAGTCGTTTAAGTGTATAAAATGGATGTGAAAAAAATTAAAGGTTAAAATATTGTGTGTAAGGGCTGAGGTATAAGCGGCTTACCTGCGCTCGGTTTCACACACGAGTACTATGCCTGTTAGTAGCTTCAGGCTTAAAATTTTTTTTTTTCCCCCTTTTTTTCACTCCTTTTTCTTTATAGTTTTCGTCATGTATATATAGATATCGAACAATCTAATTCTAATTGTATTTTAAAAATTTATACATTTTTTCACTAAAACATTATTTTAAAAGATAGATAACTATTTAAAATGTTATAGGATATATTTTCAAATAGTTAGAATATTATACGTTTCTTTATGTGAAAAGTTTTATTTCATCTCTAAATAACTATAATTAAAAATAGAATGGCAAAAACCAATTTATTAAAATATTTTTAGTTTATATTTTTAAACGGAAAATTTATAAATATTAAATGTAATATTTGATTTAATATTGTAAAGTGAATATAGATATTTTCAATATATCTGAATTTCTTGATACTTAAAAGTATGAGGTTTAAAACTTTTGCCAGTTTTCCGACAAAGCTCGTCAGAAGCACACAGAGTTATAGGAATTGCTTGTGACGACGTTTGCACTTCTGACACTCGACCCAGAATATATATATATATATATTTTTTTTGCTTAAAACCTTTGGCTTCGTGTTATCAAATTATTAAGATTCCGAATATAAGAATAAATAAGAATTAATATAGGACTCAGTCAGCAAAATTTAACAATAGATGAAAACTTTTTTTCGAGATAGATTTTTTATAGAAAATATATACGTATATAATTAATTTTCTGTTAAAAGAAGTAATTATTTTTTAAAATAATAATAATAATATTAGATATTATAACTATTGAATAATTTTATTAAATACATTCGACAAATTTAAATGCCATCCTTGTACTATATATATATAACAGATAATAGATAGTTAATATGTGATATATTTGTCACATTAAAAGTTATTACGTCTTAAATTCAGTAGTACAAATCGATTTACGTCAGACTAATAGAAATAAAACGGCAGCTCTTAAACGCAGTAGTAGAAGTCAGTTTATGTCAGACTTTATATACGTATTTTCGATAATTTATTACATTATATGAAAAAAATATTTTTTTTTACTTTTTACCAAAAAATTATATAACAAATGTTGATTTTTTAATAAAATTACTATACACTGAAAAAAGAATTATTTGATTCAAATAATCGATTACTTGGCTATTATCAAATAAATATTAATTTGTATTGAATAATTATTATTTGAATTAATTCTAATTATTTCAAATACAGAAATTATTGGTTCAAATAAAATTTATTAAATTCAATTAAAGATAATTGGGTTCATGTAAATATTTATTTGATAATAATCAAGTAATTGAGTATTTGAATCAACTAAATTTTTTTTCCAGTATAGTTTATTGAGATATGAAATAGATGTTTATATATTTAAAAAAAAATCTTTTTCTTTATTTTTTAATAAATAATTTTTGTCATCGAATTAAGCGAGTTAATGGAAACTTCATTGTGTAGCCTCGAGTTAGGGCTTCTGAGAACAGTCAACAAGCTCCTTGCTAATTAGAAAGTTCACTAACCTTTTAATAACAGTTTCGAGCATCTCCCCCTCGTTATTAGAATATTTCAGCTTCCAAACAATTTCCAAAGTTTATTGACACAATAAATTTTTTTTTCTTTTATATTTAAACTTTTTTTTTGTTGTTGTTGTATGTATAATGTCAAAGGAAAAAAAAGTTGCATCAACTACCTGCTTCATTTATTTTATAACAAACTTTAAATATAATTAGATGCGAAAGTTTCACTCGCTGACTGTGCGGATTATTCAAATTAAAATTAAAAATACTTTTTCAATTATCATAAAAATGAACTTTACATATGTAGACAAATTTAAAATTATACTTTTATTTTGTTTAATTTATAAAATTATATTTATTTTCTAGTGCGGAAATTTCTTTGTAATTATTCTAGATTATTTTTAAATTTAATATATTTTTTAAATAAATATTTTAATGACAAATAATTAAGATTATAAATACATTTTTTTAAAGGGATATTTGTCCTTTTTATTTTTTTTTGTTTATTGCTGTCAATTTTCGATAATAAATAGAATTCTTTTGTGTAAAAATGATCAAGTTTTTATACAAGTCTCTTTTTTTTCATTTATCTGAAAACTGTCTCACTAAAGAGGTGACATTATACTTTTGCGAATCTTGTGCAATGTACAAATGGACTAGATACGACACTAAGAGCTGAGAAGAGACAAAAGAGGCGCAGAAACCGCCAAGGGCGCTTGTAAATAGTAATGATTCTTTCTTTACAAAAAGAAAATTTTAAAAAGGAAAAATCATACTTTTAGAAACTTCCTTTTTAGTTCCGTATCTTGTTACATTTATGTAACTAATGCAGTAGTTTGCTAAAAATAATTAAATTTTTCTTTTTGAAAAATGAATAATTATAATTTAAAAAATTATATTAAAAAATTCCACTGAAACAAATTTTATTCTATGTTCTAGATGTTTTGAAATGAAATTAATTAGTTTAATAGAAATTTTCGTGTAGAGGAAAATTATTTGTTATACTCTCTAAATCTGAATTAGTAAAAATGTTTACTAATTTTGAATTAGTGACTTACTTTTTGCTTTAGAATTAGTTAAATTTTACTAATTGTTAGTAAAAGTTACTAATAATTAGTTAAATTTTACTAATTCAGAAGCAAAAAGTGAGTCACTAATTTAAATTAGTAAACATTTTTACTAATTCAGATTTAGAGAGTAGTTGACTATTATCAAATAAATATTTACTTGAACCAAATAATTTTTATTAAAATTAATTAAAAAATTTTTGAATTAATTAAATTTTATTTGAACAAATAATTTCTACATTTGAAACAAATACAATTTAATTGATTCTAATAATAATTATTTAATATACAAATAATGAAATAAAGGAATTAAATATTTATTTGATAATAGTCAAGTAACGGATTATTTGAATCAAATAAATTTTTTTTTCAGTGGAGTTATAATATTTAAAAAATATTTGTTAATTTCGTTTTCAGTAGTAAAAACGGTTTTAGTCAAATGAATTTAAATTCTCACAATTCTAATTAGAAAGTAAAATAAACATTTAGTCAGACAAATTATTTTTAAAATTTTGATATAAAGGTAAATGTGTGTTAAAATTCTACTTATTTTATGTTTGACAATAGTTGAAAACGTTCGTTTAATTTAGAGAAAATTAAAATTTTTGTTGTTCTGGTACATATAAGTAGTAAAAATGAGTTTTAGTCAGACAGTTTGATTTCCTTCAGTAGTGTCAGTGGTAAAAATCATAGAAATATGTTTTAATTTCTTCAAATTTTGGTATCATCAGCATTATAATTATAAGTAATAAAATACAGTTTTAATCGGACGACTTTTTAAAAATTCTTTTGATATTAGTATATCAGTAGTAAAAGATAGTTTTGTCCAGACAAAATTATTTTCAGTTCAATGTCAGTTTTTCGTGAGGCAAAAATATTTATATTCTCATAATTCTGATGTAAATACTCTCTAAATTTGAATTATTAAAAATTAACTAATTTTAATTAGTGACTGACTTTTTGCTACTGAATTAGTTTTTACTAATTCGTTAGTTTAATTTTTTTACTATTAATTAATTAAATTCTAAGTTAAAAGCAAAAAGTGAGGCACTAATTTAAATTAGTTAAAAATTTTTACTAATTCAAAATTAGAGAGTAGTTAATTAAAGATTTAGTAGAAAATTTTTTCTAATTCTTGTGACATTAGTTTCAGTAGTAAAAATAAGTTGCAGTCAGACTGTGTAATTTTTTTTCGTAGCAGTAGTGGAAATCAGTTTTTTAGTTTGACGAAACGGTTTAAATTCTTTCAATTCTGGTGCGTAAGTAGTAAAATATAGTCAGATTAATTCATTGTGATATTAGTATCAGTAGTAAAAGTAAGTTTTAGTCATACAAAACGTATCTTGATATTAGTGAAATTCCTATCTCCCTCTATTCTAGATACTTACTATTTTACTGAACCAAAAAAAAAAAAAATGATTTAGTACACTGAAGAAAAAATTAAATAAAAATAATCTGTTACTTGACTATTATCAAATAAATATTTACTTGAATCAAATAAATATTTACTAGAACCAAACAAATATTTTCTTGAACCAAATAATTTGTATTTGGACCAACAATTTCTGTATTTGAAATGAACACCATCTCAAATAATAATTACTTAAAACAAATAAATATTTAAAAATCTTTATTTGAAACAGCAATATGTTTCTCTAGAATAGCGAAAACTTTCGCTGTTTTAGTAAAGTATATCGCTGTTCCAGTGAAACTTATCGCTATTCCAGGTAAAGATTTTGTTTTTGTGATAATAGTTAACTAATCGATTATTTGAATAAAATAAATTATTTTTTTAGTGTAATTAATTAAATACATGTATTTTGTCTCTTTAATATTATTTTAAAGTTATTTTGAAATTATCTATATCTTGTAATTTTTTTTGATATTTTATTTTCATATTTCTAAAATTGTAATGAAATGTTGTTATTGGTAATTTAATGGAAATATAATTAAAAATTTTGTTTTTAATTTGTATATAATTAAAAAAAAATGTTGTTTTGAAACATAAATATGTATTGAATTTATTGGTCGGTGAAAGTAATGTTGAATGTTGTTTCAGCAGCATCCGAATGCAACGAACAGCAGCGAAACAAGTGTGGGTGGCGTTTCTGGTGCGTGCGGAAGTAGCGGTTTACCTGCGGCAGCGGAAGCGGGTTGCAGCAGTGGTGTTGGTGTTGGGACCAGCAGAGGTGGAAGCAATAGTGGCCATGATCAAAGTGGCAGTCACAGTGGTTCGACGCATAGTCACGCCAAATTCAGGCATGGTCTACTCCAACTCATGATCCACACAATCGATCCTCTCCACGACGGTCAGTCCCGAGCCGGTATATCTTCCACACTCTATCACTCTCTCGCTTTTGGCTTGCTTGCTTTTATGTATGAATGCTGCCACTGCTGGCTTTTGCTTTGCGCGCTTGCTGCTTGCTCGTCAGCACGCCTAATACAAAAGCTCTTTTTTTTTAACTGCCTGTGTGTATGTGATATATATATAAATAAAAATGCGCCTTGTACTCGATGCTATAAGATAAAAGCTCGCGCTCGCGCTTCTTTTTTTTCGCCAATTCTCTATTTTTGTTTTTTCTCTCTCTCTCTCGAGAACAATATCTCAAAAAGAAAATTTCTAATGGAGCGACTTACAATTGTTACCAGCAAAGAATTCTCTATATCTAAAAATATGTGCCAAATAATTATCCCATAAAAATCATTAATAATTTTCATTTTAAAGAATTTTATAATAATAATAATTATTAATTTTTCTTTGAATTTGCATTTTGTACTCTCTAAATTTGAATCAGTCATATTTTACTGATTAGAAGTAGAAATCTACTAATTGCCATATAGCGAGAATTGAGCAACTGACAATTAGTAGAAATTTACTGATTCAATTTGTAAAATATCAATTACTGATTGAATTAGTAATATAAATATATGGCGGCGGCCACAAAATCTACTGATTTAATAGTTACTTTTAAAAGTTATGTTATGTACAAATTACTGATTTACATAAGTTATTTTCTATTGCTTGCATATTCACTAATTATATTAGTGAATTTCAAAAAATAACTGAAACTTCAGTTAAAATGAAAAGTACTGATTGAATTAATAAAATTTCTCTACTGATTCAGATTTAGAGAGTTGAATTTCTATTATTTATGAGAATTTTTATTTAACAAAATTTTTAGCTACCGAAATTTTGTTTGACAGAATTTTTATTTCATAATCATTATAAATTTACATGAAATTTTGTTTACGAGAATTTTTATTTAGCAGAATTTTATGTGATACGAATTTCAAAATCGACGAATTTTAATTTGTACGAAATTTTTACGACGCCTAATTTTTATTTGTCCTAAATTACTAATGGCCGAATAAAGAATAAATAGAAAGATTTTGGCGCAATTAATAAATTAGAAATTATTAAGAAAATCGTGATTGGTCAATTTTAAAAATTGCGCCGAAATTTTTTTTTTTCAATTGTTTCTCTTCGGCCTTATTTGTAATTTGGGACAAATGAAAATTCGTATAAATAAAAATTTGGTTAATTGGAATTTCTGTAATTTAAAAATTTGAATCGGGAATTTCGATTGAATGAGAATTCTGTTAAATTAAAATTCTATTAAATAAAAAGTCATGTAAAGAAAATGATTGTAAAATAAACATTCTGCCAAACAAAAATTCGATAGCTAAAAATTTTATTATGTAAAAATTCGTCTAAAAAAAAATTACTTTTAATAAAAATATATACTTTAAAATAAAAATTCTAATTAATAATTTTTATGGAAAATTGATGGGCACCGAAAATATTATTTATTATTTTTTTACTAACTTAACAATAACTTGTAGGAAAGTCAAAACTTTGCAAAAAGTTTATAAATATCGAAAGGTTCGAAAAAGTTTCAAATTTTTATTAATAATTTTTCATAAAATTTTCTTTCAAAATTTAGAATTTCGCATATATATATATATATATATATATATATATATATATATATATATATATAGGTATATAATATATAAAAATCTCGTATTTTGACACTTTTTACTCTCTAAATCGATAAAGTTCGTATATATATATATATATATACGGGTAAAATTTATTAATCAATTTCTGCCGATGTACTTACAAGGAGAAAATAAGTTCGTCATTAAAGTTTTCCTAACTTGAATCAACTTTTTGGATACGCCATATAAAGTTTGAAAAGAATTAATGAAATTTTTTTTCTATCGAATTTTATTAGAGTTACTGAGAGAAATTATATAACTGAATGAAAAAAATTATTTACGATATTTTTAATTTAATATTTTGATCTCATATTCTTGAATTTATTTTGACGTCTGCTATTTCTTTATAGGTAATATTAAAAAAGTGATTTATAACAAAAATTACTGATTTAGGGAAATTAGGAAGGAATTAAGGAAATTTGGAATTCGTATTGTTTTTTAAGTAAAATTGTTGTTACAAATTTTTTCACAATGGAAGAAAATTATTTAATTTAATTAAATTTTTTTTTATCAAATAATTATCCAGTCAATTAAATAGTTTTTTTTTTGTTTCAAATATAGAAATTCGAATATATAGTTTACTTGAATTAAAGTAATATTTATAGATGTATTAACAAAAATTTTGATTGAAATAATTAATTTAATTTAAAATTTTAATTATATTGTTGAATAAAGTAATATTTGAAAAATTGACTTTTATTGAACTGTATTTGTAAATTAAATTTTCACATAACTGTATAAATCTTTACACATAATTTGATAAAGCAGGCTCTGTAACTTTCATGAAATGTCGCAAGTGAATGAACTATAAAACATACTATAAGTGTCGTTTTTATTGACTAAAGAACTACATTATCTAAAGAAACATAAAAAGTCATTGCTTAATTCAAGAACGTTTTCATTGTAATGGCTTAATATTTTATGATATACTATATATATTCAATCAAATTTGCTTTTGATTTATTAAATAATTTATTTAAATATTCAAAAAATTTGAATTTCAATTAAAATTTTTATTTTTTTAAACACAAAATACTATTTATAGACTTGATTTGCCGGTTCAAAATACTTGATATATAAAAATTGCAAACTTTTATACTGATTGACTGATAACATAATTTTTTGTTACTGTTAATTTTACTTTCGTGTGTATGTGTGTATGTATAAATCTCACAATCTTACCATTATTGTGTATAATTATAAGAATGTAGAGGTGAAAGCTTTCATTTTTCTTTCGAAGGCACGAAAGCTCTTGAAGTAATACAGTTAGAGAGAGTTAAAATGTGCGCACCCATATTAAGGTCGAGCCATTAGAGTGAGTTGACACGAATAAAGTCTGTAACCTTTCGAATCGAATATTTTTTTATTTTTTATCTTGTGTTATAGGGAATTTTAGAAAATTTTTCATTCTTTTTTGAGAAAAATTGGAAAATTTTGTCTATCAGATAGTAAAATTAAAAGAATATACTCTTTTGTCTGACTGAAAACGAATTTTTAATATTAGAACTTTAAATTTGTCTGACTCAAATCGCCTTTTTCTACTGTGACAGTAATATTTTGAGATTTGTCTGACCAAAATATCATTTTACTACTTAAGTATAAATTACGAAAATTTAACAAATATTTGGCTAAAACGGACTTTTTCTACTAAATAGAAAATATAATTTAATTTTGAAACTAAAAGGACATTCACTTTTACTACTATTAAAATTACAAGATATTTTAATATCTTGTCTGATTGATACTGACTTTTACTATACTGATACTAAAACAATTTGACTGAAATAAATACTTGAGTTTGCTCTGAATAAAACTTAATTTTAAAATTAAAAATTAAATTAAAATTAAAAATTAAAATTAAAATCATTTTTTATTAACTCCTTGTTCTTGTGAAGAAATTCTTCGCATATAACATAAAATTGAAAACGTGTTAAAATTAATATTTTTCTGAAAACGTAAAAGGAAACGCTTTTCATAGAAAGGGCACTTTAAGAGCAGTAATATAGAGAAGTCTCGTCGTTTCATTATATATCTGACATGTTACGGGATGAACCATAAATGAGGTTATTTCATTCAAACTTAGTATATATACTGTAACTGATGTGATCATATAGTTTAAAATAGATTAGCTCTAATGAACATTGCGATAGTTTACTCGAATTTAATTCTAATTTTAGCCCATATTATTGTAGTTAAAAAAGTTTTTCTCACATTAATTTCAAATGTTATTTCAAAAAAAAAATATATATATATATATATATATTTTTTTTGTTTTAAAAATTAAATTTCTAGTTAAATAAGAATTTTGGCTCTACAATCTCTTCTATATTTGCTTCAATTTGTAAAATAAAGTGGTTCTTTTTTTTGTAATTAAACATTAATTTACTCATTTTCTTTTGTAATGTAAAATGCTTTTTGTCTAGAAATTTTTTCATTTGCTTTGTTTAATAGACTCAAGTGCGTTAGATTTACTAAATAATTTTTCAATTTCTTTTTACATTGCAAAATAAACGGTGAAAAAAAGAATAAAATACAAATTTAAAGAAAGAATCCATAAAATATTGGCGAAGGTGTGGAATCTGATTAATGGCTTTGCGTCAAAAAAAAAAGGATCTCGTGTAAAATTTTACTTCCGCTCTGATCCGTCGTTTGTTAGTGCGGTCAAAAGCCAAGGCTTGCTTTTATAGCGCGTGTGGATTGACGGACACTTTTCTCGTGACCCACATTTTCTCTTATTTATCATCATAATCGAATCCTTTTGCATTTATCGCACAGTTTATATATATAAATTTGTCCCTCTTATTTTGAACATCATGAATTTTATATTCGTTGTCGCACACCACTAATCATATTCCCTAATGATTTTCACGCCTCATCTATTCTTTGGTAAACAAATTTTTTTTTTTTTTGTGAGAAAATAATTCATTCGCTTTTTTATAAAAGATCAGCAAAATTAAAATTCGTAAAAAACAATTTAGAAGGAATTTTTATTTTTGGTAGAACAATAAAAATTTTAGATTTAAATAACTGAAGTATAAAACAATCCAATTAAAAATATTCAAATTAATAACGAAAGTTTCTAAATTTGTTGAGAAGCCAATTTAGCAAAATTGGTAAATTTTTTTTAAATTGATATTTGTTTTTTTTTCTAGTTCACCGTTTTTATTTCTTGATTATTTTTTTAATTATGGCTGCAATATTGAAAAAAAAAATGCTACAAAATATTCGTTTTTTTTTTTTTTTAATATTTTACAGCAATGAAAATTATTGAATTAAAACATTCGACACAAAATAGTGGGGAAAAAATTGATTTTACAAATTG